TCAACGTGGAAAATTAGGCAAACAAACAGACGGCCAAACGGTAGTCGAGCTCAAGGCGGGGGCGGCTGGATGAGCTCGGGAAGTGTATGGGTAGGAAATGCCCAGGGCGAGCCAACGGCCTGCGCTCAGTCCCAGACACAGACGGACAGTGGAACGGACGGACGGACGGACGGGCGGACGGACGGACGAACGGTTCTCGTGGACCTCGCCCACAGCTTAACCTCTAATGAGGCGCATTACTTTTGTTTGGCTACACAGGCAGCGGATTCGCATCGACTGTGGGCGTGGCGTGTGCAGAGAGAGAGAGAGAGAGAGAGAGAGAGAGATGTGAAATCATTATCCCGTTAAAACTAATCTTATTTGTCTGCGGCATTTTCTTATTCTGGTCGAGCGACGACTCGGGCGGCTTTTTGCCTAATTTTGTACAAACACTCGCCGCCCTCTGAGCAAACAGCCATTGGCCTCTCGCATCGCATCTTAAGCGAAAGCTCGCCACAATCGCCATTTGCCTAACAGCATTCTCTATTCGCAATATGTCAGAGACTAGACATATGCTAGGCCCAAAAAACTTGGAAAGTTACAATCGAGTGAAGGGGAGTTTTATTATTTTATTTTTATATATATTTGAATACTTTTATTTTTTGTAAAATTCTTGAATATATTTATAATAAATTTGTCAGCAAGTTAATGTCATATTTTGTTAAATTTTTAAATGTATCTATTATAATTTGTTTAACAAATTGATTTGAATTTATTGAATACCTATTTAAGCTGAATACATGTTTATTGAATACTTATTTCAGCTGGATTAGGATAAACGAGCTCGAACACTTACATATACAGTGAGTGTCAATGAAAATCGTACAGCTAATATGACTTAACAAGCTTGCTCATAGCTTCTAAAGTAAAAATTTGTGCTTAAGTTAGATCTTAAGAGAAAAATAATGCCACATAATTTATGTAAGTGATATTCAGACATAATTGGACGTTATTCCGACAAAGTTTTTCAAATCTTAAAAGTTATGTTTTTGCAATCTATTCGAATATGCCTTTCAAACATCCTAATATAGTCCTATATATATAGTCCTTTTATGCTCCAATCGCATTTCTTTTATTAAAGATCCTAACTATCCAAATATTTAATCATAATTTCGTAAAAAAACAATGCAATTGAATGAGCTTGAAAAGAAAGATACTTTCAATATCATTTAAGCGAGTTAAGTTTCAGATAGAATTATAAGTACCAAAACTATTGACTATAAATTTCATCAAAGTTTTAAAACTATTAGCATTGATTGTTGAAAGATTCGTTTCAAAGAACAAACAAACAAAAATAGAAGCAAACCTCGTCAGAGCTCGAATTTGATATTATTCTCAGGGCTTAGATAAATAGACAGAGGTTGTATAATTCCAAAAAGATCGAACCTAATAATAACAAAGCTTGAGCTATTGAAAAATTAAATTGATTTTGTATAAAATGGGAGAAATTTTAATGAAAAGCTGAAAGACAGAAATTTAAAGAGGGAAACTTCGATGGAAAGCTCAAAGACAGCATTAAGCTCAGACAAATGCAGTTTCAAATAGACGATATATAAGAGCTAGAAGATATATATGTGTATATAGAAGTCCATTCTAGATGGAAGGTTAAGATTAAAAGTAGACTACCAAAAAAATATGTGTTTAAAAGCAGCTTGAACTAGCTATATATATACTCATGGCTATAGATAGATGTATGGATAAAGTTTACAGTTGGAAATTTCAGAAAGAAAGAAGGAATGAACTGAAATGGCTGGATTAGCTGACTCGCTGGCCGAGTCAATCGAGAATTCGAGAGCTGACTACGATTGAGTGTATTTTAAATGGCAATAAATTCGAGCGACTGTGAATCGAGGGAAGTCGCCAGCATTTGCCACCTACTTCATGCACGGCGAAGCCAAATGGATGTGGCAGTAGCCAAGCCAAGCCAAGCCCAGCTCAGGCCTGTGGCTCTGGTCCTGGTCAGGAGCAGGGCTCTGGTCCGCAGAGCAATAACTAACTCGAACTTTTGTTTAAGATACATTTTGAAAGCCAGCAGCTGCTCGCCGCAAATTGACCTTAGCCATGGTCCATGGCAGCCTGGCCGAATGGCCGAATGGCCGTATAGCTGGCCAGTCATATGCAAATTTGTTGATTGCTCCAGCTACAGTTCCAGAAGCTGCAGACCCAGACAGAGGCAGGAGACAGGAGACAGAGACAGAGCGGGACATAGAGACAGCCAGAGCATCTAGCCATGTTCAACTGGTCAACCACAAGACGAAATGCGGTAGAAAACCACACAATAAATGGGCATAAATTACAAAACATGATGAAACCCCCAATGGGATGCAGACGAAGCAGCAGCTGGCAGAGGCAGAGGCAGAGACAGAGGCAGAGACAGAGGCAGAGACAGAGGCAGAGATGGGGTGAATGGGAACGTGGCTGTAAGGATGTGAGCTGTGATTGTTGCAGATATTGATAATTTCGTGGACTCGAACTGAGCCACTGACTAACTGATTGAATGACTGACTGGCTAACTGGCCAACTGCCTGACTAGCTGGCTCGCTGGCTGGCTGACTGTGTGGCGCCATCGAGTGCTGCGTTGCCACTTGAATTTTTGATTTAACAAAAGTCTCATTTGTAAAACGGTCAAAACTTTGGCGAGCAGCAGCAACAGCAGCAGCAGCAGCAGCAGCAACTGCCACAAAATTCAAATAAAGCAAGCTAGCAAGATCTGGTCAGATGTGCACAGCTATATAGTTACCCTGTACACACCTTTTGCTACGCTTTCCTCTGACAATCGTCAAGAATACTTACGAATTACACATGAATAGAATATGAATAGATATTTGTATTTCATTGCAACTTTACTGAACGATAATTATCGATTCTGAAAACTTGAGCAAAATTATTACTAAAACAAAATTCAATTCAAATCTGAAGTCATATATGAATGCAAACTTACTTAAGCAACCTCCGCAGGAAAGCTCTTTAGCTATCAAAATTTAAACAAACGATCTGACAGAGCAAATGTGAACAATCGATACTTAACCTCTATAATTTTATACAACCGTTAACTGCAAACTATAGATATATACTATTGATATATAGTGGACTACTGCTTGCCAGCCTTCAACAAAAGTTTTTGAAAAGAAACTCATAAAATCGATATATATCGATTAAGCAAAAACCTAGAATTAATGTCTGGATATATAACAGTCTCATGTGCATAGCATAGACTCATAGCTACCTAGTGAAATTCAGTATCTAAGCATATCTAGAGTAAGTAATTGAGTCCTTACAAATGATTATTATCGATTAATTAAATGCAATCATTTGGAAGCATTTTATGGTAAGTCCACCTCCGCTCTTACCATCTTGATCTATTCAGTTCTCAAACTGTAAAGAAAACCCATTAGAGTGAAATCCACAAAATCGATAATTATCGATTAAATTGAATTGAACTGGCCAAACATTGATCTACTATATATGTATATGGATTACTCATTAGCTTACTGCACTACCCTACGCGGACAACAAGTACAGGGTATCACATACATATATAAGAAAGCAAAAGCCAGTAGGATTTGCTCGATAGGTAAACAGAGATGGGTGAGGGAGGGAGGGGGGATGGCGGCTAGGCAGCTGTTGCTGCTGTTGCAGAAAAAGCCGAAGCGGAGGCCGCAAACTTTTGCACAACAACTGGGCAACAATAATAATGTCACGTTTATCGTGTGCAGCTAATTACTAACAAAAAGATAGTTTGTAATCCTACACAGAGCCCCCAGTTAGCCAGTCAGCCAGTCAGCCAGAGTTGGCCGGCCAGGCTGACAGAGAGAGAGAGAGAGAGAGAGACGGAGAGAGCCAACCGAGCGTGGCCAAAAGTGCCCCTAGGACAACAAAACAACCAAGTTACAGCAACAATGATGTTGATAATGTTGCTGTTGTTGTTGTTGCTGTTCGTTGTTGCTGTTGCTGTTCGTTGTTGTTGCTGATGAGGACCAGTAGCTGTTTGTCCGTTTTGTTCGCTTGTTTCTCAATGTTGCTTAGTTTTGCTAGCCGAAAACTTCTGCTTGGCCCAAAACATGTGCAAAAATCTTTGGCAACGAGTTTGCTGCGCATTAGCACACGCCTGAATTTCTTGGCTAAACACAAGAGCAACAACTGCAACAATAACAACAACAATTGCCAACTTAGTTCATGCAAATCTGGCCACACCCACTCGGACGGGGTGGGTGAGGGGGGAAATGGAGCAGTTATGCTGGACCGGCCCAAAAAGTTTTTGCATATTGCCCAACAGCTGCGCCAACAGAGTCAACTACACACACACACACACACACACACAGCAGACCCACCACCACCCCCTCCCCACTCAACCCCTATGCTTCAGCTTGGGCCAAGTTTGTAGCAAAGTTGTGGAGCACACAAGTCGCATTAGGCGCATTACACTTGCCACAGCCTGTGGCCAATAGATGCACAGCCAAGGCAAAATGTTAGTACAGCGTTAGCTAGAAATGAGTTCGTTTATTTTTGTATAAATATAAATATTTATTTATATATATATCTATATATATTTGTATATAAAGTTCAACGTTAGTACACAAAAAATGCGTATAAATATTCATGTATGTATGGGTGTGTGTGCGTGTGTGTGTGTGAGTGTGTTAATTAAGTTCTCAATTCGATAGTTTATAAGAATTATGGCAAGAGCTCGAAAATATCATGATTTCCGTATATCGTTTTTTTAGGCTGCACTGTAAAAAAAACTTTAGTAATTCTTTTGCGCACCTACACGCACACACACACACACACTATAATGTGCGTAAGTTTTATTTATAATAAAAAAATTTGATATTCATATATTTATACACCTATATATGAAAAGCTTTCGAATTGCATTTTGACAGTTGCAAAAGTAATTTTTTTTTTAGTATTTCAGTTTTCCATTCTGCATTTAAATTAATTTAAATTTTTTAGATTTTTTGTTGTTTTCAAGATTTATGTAAATTTTTTTCTAGTGTATCCAAAAATTGAGTTGGCAGCACTTTTTGTTTCCAATAATTCTGATGGTAATATAATAATTTAATAAAATATTCCGATTGTAATTGACACGGCAAAACGTAAACAAACACATTAACAACAATAATAATAATAACATACATATATCGAATTCGATATATCGATAGGCATTATCGATAACAGCCAGCACTGCAACTGCAGTTCTCCACTCGCTTAATATCCAATCTCTCACTCGGCTCGCTCACTATATAGCTACATATATATGAATACACATGCATACATACATGACTATATAGTATACATAGTATATACATACATATGCATACATATATACACTTGAATAACATTAAAGTAATATCGTTTTGCAATTGAGACTCGAACGAACGCACGAACATTTTCGCTTGACTGTAAACCAAAATATCAAGAATGGAACGGGCAGTCCAGTGAAGGCCCTGGTTAGTTTAGGATGGACTGAACAGGGAGTGGGATTGGGATTGGGATTGGGATTGGGATTGGGATTGGGATCGGTTTTGGGCCTGGATTCACTGGCGCGTCACCGTCAGATTCGAGCTGAACGAGAGCAGATCTGCCTGGTCGGGTTTGTCGCGCGTCGCATGGTAGGCCTCGCGTTCGCGATCCGGGAACTTGGTGGGCAGGTTGGGCGAGTGCAGATTCACCTTGGCCTCGAACCTCACCCCAGCCACCTCCACCTCGTAGTGCCCGGACAGCACGTACTCGTTGCTCACGGCCAGCTCTTGACCCTGCTCATCAATGTTGCGCACAAAGCCCAAGCAGACCTGCTTCTCGAACGTATAACCATATCCGGTTGTCGTCGTCATGCCCACATAGACGCCATCCCGATAGATGGGCTCACCGCCCCAGCACCACATGTCCACCTCGTGATCATGGTCGTTGAGCAACAGCTGCACATACATCCGCTTCACGCCCTCCTCCCGCTGTTTCAGCAGCGCGCTGCGTCCAATAAAGTCAATGGGTTTCTGTCGAGGGATTACATTAACAAAGATCTCTCTCTCTCTCTCTCTCTCTCTCTCTCTGCATCCACTTACATTGAACTTTACACGCCAGCTGCGTCCGCACTCCAGCGGCGTGGTGAACGTATCCAAATCTTGGCCCCAGAACGCATAAAACTTCTCAATGCGCAGCGCCCTAGTCGCATAGTAACCTACAATGTGGACAAGCCACAGATTAATTTCAGATCAGATCAGGCATTCGCTGATTCATTGGGATTCTGGAACTCACCTGCGTGCTGTATTTGGTACTTCTGACCCGCCTGGTGCAGTCGGGAGTAGACATGCAGCGCATACTCGTTCGGTATATATAGGACATAGCCCAGCTCGCCAGTGTGGGTGATGTTCAGGACGCGTATGCCATCAGCCAGGCCCACATCGAGTTCCTGTCGAAAGGAAGCAGTGCCGGAACGTGATTAGAGTGAATATACGTGAATGATTGAGGGACCAGTTAACGTGTGACTGAGCTTGATGGATGGATTGACGGAGTGACCAATTGGTATGCGATTGTGCGGCTGATTGATTGCTTACATATTGGTTGAGTTGTAAGTACATTGAACTAAATGATTGACTGATTGATTGGTTTCAAATGCGATTGATTCACTGATTGATTGGCCAATTGATATGCAGCTGACGGCTGGCTGATTGAATGAAGGACGTACTCATAGATTCAATGAGAGCTGATTGACTGAATGATTGAACGTTTGAGTCGACTGTAAAAATTTATCAAATGACTGACAATTTTGGGTTTGATCTAGCGAACGAATCAATTGATTGAGTGTCTAATGGTTAAATTGATTAACTGTTTACTTAGCGAAAGCACTGATTGATTGACTGACTGATTGATTGACATGGTTTAGCAACTAGGTAAGATTTCAATAAAAATTATCATTGATTACAGTTGAGAGTTATTGGATGTAAATGCATTTGAAGCGTGTTTTACCATAGCTGAAAGATCCATTGAGTTATGTTTTCAATCGACTTAAGAGAAACCGTTATTCCAAATAGAATACTACATTTAGCAATAGGCAGAGGCAAACGAAAAATAATAAACTAAGTAGGCCAGACATTTGGAATGAGCACAGACAGGCAACGACAATGCCACAAAGTCCATAAATTGAAACAAGAGATATTAGTCATACTTGAACTCTTCCAACGAGCAGCCACTGGTGCAGCCTGTGGGGCCGGGGAATGCCTGGATGGACCGCTTACCTTGTACGTGAAGAATGGGAAGCTCTTGGCTGTGAGATCTGTGTCGGTGAGCTCCGAGAGCAGGATGCGCGAATAGGGTCCCAATATGCAGATGGCTGTGTACATGGAGGTGACGTCCGCTACGTTCACCTTGGCGCGCAGGTGCTCGGGCATGTGCTTGCGTATCCAGCTCATGGAGCGCGTCTGCTGTATGGTTGGCGCAATCATCATGTAACTGCAACACAGGCAAAGCAAATCGAATCAGCTCAACTCCGAGGTCAGTCGATGCACTACTCTACTCACTGCCGCTCGGAGAGACGCGCTAGCGAGCAATCGTTCTCATAGCCGCCATTGGGATTCTGCATGCCCGTGTGTATGATGGAGCCAACGGCAACGTCCACGTCGTTCGAGCAGAGGTACTGCAGCAGGTCGACCACCTCGTTGCCCTTCGACCAGAAGTCGTATTTGGTGAAGGAGCTGTAGTCGGCAATGCCGATGCGCTCTCGACAGGCGCGATACTCCGTGGCCACATGATCGAACCAGGGAGGCTTGCCAAAGGTGCGCGTCTGCGAGATGCGGAATCGCGGCAGCCCAAACTCATCTGCAGGCGAGGATTGGGGGATTAGTGTGTGATGTGTGTGATTAACAAATGGAGGACGCACCTTGCTTGTCGTTTGTATCGAAATAGTTGGGTCGCTCGTAGCCCATCGACTGGCCAAAGACGGCGCCCGCTTCCTTCAGCTGGGGATAGATGGGCGACATGCGGAGATTGCGACCCGTCTGGAACTCGTCGAAGGGATAGTTGATCTCGAAGTGTTTGCCGGGCGCCTCCTTGCAGCGGTCCCTCAGGAACTTGCGATTGTTGTGCAGTCCCAGGAAGCGACTGATGTCCAGGATGTGCAGATCGATGTATGTGGAGCCCTTGGTGATGAGATCGGTGAGCACACGGCCAATGCCGCCAGAGGCAGAGACGCCCATCGTCTTGTTGCCCGCCGCCACATAATAGTTCTGTATCTCCGGCGCCTCGCCCAGTATCCACTTGCAGTCCGGCGAGAAGACCTGCAGCGAGTTGGTCAGCCGATCCAGGTACGCGTCCCGGAACGAGGGCACGCGATGCAGCAGCGCGTCGAGCAGCTCGTGGAAGTGATCCCAGTCGGGCGGATATTGACGCGCTTTCTGGGACAGCGGTATGACGCCGTCCTCGTACACCATCTTCGCCTCGCGCTCGTAGCCGCCAGCTAGGATGTGGCCCTCGCATTCGCGAAAGAAGATGCGTCCGTCAAAGTCGCGCACGAACGGGGTGTTCGGATCCAGCTGCTCGATCGGCTTCGTGTGCAGATAATGGTGCTCCACGGCCTTGAGCGGCACCTTCACCACCGGCTTGGACAGCGTGCCCACCTCTCGCGCCCAGAAGCCAGTGCAGTTGACAAAGTACTCGCAGCTGATGTCCCCGGAGGTGGTCTCCACACGCGCCACCTTGCCGTGCTCGCTGTGTATCTTCTTGACGGCGCAGTGCTCCACGATGCGCACGCCCAGGCGGCGTGCCTCCTCAATGAACGAATGGCAGACCAAGTGCGGATCACAGACACCGTCCTCCGGTATCCAGAGGCCGCCCTCGATGCCGTCCAGGGAGAGCAGCGAGCAGTGCTGCTGGCACTGCTCCGGCGTGAGTATCTCACAGTTCATGCCCCAAGCCACGGCCAGAGATTTCATGCGATGGAACGAGGTCATGCGATCGAAGTTGCGCGCCAGGTTCAGGCTGCCTACCTGCTTCCAGCCGGTGGGCAGGCCGCGATCCGTCAGCTGCTTGATCAAATCAATTGAATACTCGGCCAGCTTCAGTTCCGTATAGCTCGGCTCGAAGCGTCCGGCCAGACCACAAGCGCTCCACGGCAGCTCACCGCCCACGCCGTCCTGTTCGATCAGCAGCGTCTCCGCGCCCCAGCCCTGAAGGCCGAGATGGTAGGCCACCGAGGCGCCCGTTATGCCACCGCCGCAGATGATGACTCGCGCGTGGCTCGGCACTTTGGCCAACTTCTCGTTGGGATCGACAGCTTCGTGTGGCTTGAACTTGCGCTTGCTCAATACCTGCTCATCGGCGGCATCTGCCGCATGGCCCGTGGCGGTGCTCAGCAGTCGCAGGCCCAGATGTTGCAGATGTTGCAACTGATTTGCGTTCACTCCGCTGCTGGCGGCATGTTGGCAACACGCAACGCCACGGAGTAGCTTATGCATTGCGTTTCGATTTTGTTGTCTCCTGCTTCTTGTTGTTCTTTATACGGTATTTATTGTGTTTAGTTGTTTTTGTTATTGTCCCGTGCTCAGCTTATGGTAGTTGGCGCAGTATCGGTATATCGATAACTTATTGCTCAGCCGCCACACGAACAGCTGTTGCCAGGGCTGGGTGCGATGCGCGCCATGAGTATCGATGCCTGCGTTTGAAATTGGAGTACGTTAAGAAGTCAAACTCGCTTTTAGGTGTATTTTAAATCAATTGTTATGCAATTTATTTATACGCTATGTAAATATAATTTGTTCACAACTGTTATATAATTATTTTGTTTTTTGTTTTTTCTGTATTTTTTTTTTTTTTTTTTTTTTCTTTTATTAATTTTTTTTTTTGTCATTCATTAAGTTTTGATTTTAAAGCAGTTGCTTTCAACAATTGTTTATCTCGATCAATTGAATCGCTTCAAATCGAATCAATCAATAAATCATTACTATATAATTCACACGATTTTGGTTTATATGATTTGTTTTTGTTTTGTAATTGCAATTTGCGTTTAACTACAACTACCACATAGACGACATAGATGCACGCTGGGTTCCTTCTTGCCTTAAGATCGAACGATCTTAAAATTGTTAACAAATTTACAGACTTATATATTGTTATTACAGTAATTACAATAAATTGGAAAATGTTGTAACAGCTGACTGAATCATACATCAGATATAAAAAAGAAAAAAAATGCATACAACTCCTGCCGCTTCCGTTTGATAAGAATGCGCAGAGCAGTAGGGGCACTCGGGAAAAATAAGTATACATATATATATATAAACATAAGAAAACATTCATTAAAATACTTCTTAATTTATTATAAAAACGGCGCACTCTAAAATTCGTCTTGCTTCTCGCTTACTTTAAGTCGGATTAATCGTAATTTCATTTTTTTTTTTTGCTTTTTATTTTTGCCTCGATTAAATCTGTTAAGAAAAAGTGCGCTAAAACGTTCTTAAACACTTTTGCAGTTTATATATATATATTTTATTTTTATTTGAAATGTTTCTTTTATGTTCTCTTTTTCCGTTTAATTGCAGTTGCTCATTAATAATTGTATTAATAATCATGTTTTTAGTTGCTATAAGTATTATTTATGTAAATACCTGCCTAACTGCGCATTTTAATCAATTTCTTTATTTGGTATTTTAGTGGTATTTTAAATTTTTGTTAGTTATTCTCTATATTGAATTTCGTATATATTTGTGTGTGTGAGTGTGTGTAGGTTAAAAACTATTTTGGCCTTATAGGGTAGACGACACTACACTACGCTACATACTGAAACATTTTTCATTCATTTATCTTTTATGCTTATGCCAACCTAACAAAACACATTAAAAAAAAAAAAAAAATACCAACTACATGGCAGACGCACACATACACACATTCATACAGATTTGCCGGCGTCTGCCGTTGCAGTTGCCTACTTAAACAGTTAACGGTAAACGTATGTACGTTATTTATATACAAGTGCAAACAGCCAATAACAATGGCTGTCCACATACATACATATTTATATATATATATTTATATATCTATATATAATTGTGTGTTGAAATGCTAAATGAACTAATTTTCGGTGTTTTGTTAACTTGTTTTTTTTTTTCTTTTTTTTTATCTATATATATTTTTTGTAATTTTTATAATTTTTTTTTTTTGTGGCTTTGTTTTGAGCGAAGTTCTTTTTGTGTGCAACAATATTTTTGTTTTGCTGTGTGCTGAGCGAAAGTGGGCGAGGCAGGAGTGAAAGGCGGCTGAAAGGATGTTTGATAGATAGAGAGAGAGAGAGAGAGAGAGGGCTTTATGTTCAAAGTGTCTCGATGGAATGTTCTTATACTCATTCAAGCAAGTGAATCGAATAGATCTGTCTAACTAGATGAATGCCGCCAAGCTAGAGAATTTACTCGAATTACTCTTCTATATCTTTGAAATATTTTAAAGTGTCAAGATTTTTCACGATACGCCCACTAGGGGCGTGGTAAATACGAGCATTTGAGAAAACATGTTAGCTGAAACGTGGAATGTATACTCGGGTGGACAGCCCAGTGAATTAGATATTGGCGCCCATTGGGGGCGTGGCGAATCGAGTACACAGTTTTGGAGCTAGAAAATGCACATAGAACGAGTAAATTACTGTAAATAATATAAATATATACCAATTGGGGCCCTGAATGAGTATTCTGCAGTCGGTAAAGCCCGACGACAGCAAGGTTCAAGTGCAAGGAAGAGTGAGAAAGACATAAAGAGAGAAAGAGAGAGAGAGAGAGAGAGAGAGACAGGCAGCGAAAGCTGTAGAGAATAGGAGCTTGCAAGTATATACAAGGAGAGTGTGTGTGTGTAGTGTGTGTGTGTGTGTGTGTGTGTGTGATAGACTTATCTATGAGTACAGTGAACACTTTAATCAATGTTGAATGCAAAATATTTGCCGTGTAAATGTTTCTTCTGACTTTTGTTTTGTTGCAATATTTGATTTGAGTTTATTTGATTTTTGTAATTTATTTGCATCTGCACAGCAGAGAGTTAAAATTTTCTTGTTAACATTTGCTGTAAATTTGTATAGTATATTCATATATATATATAGAGATATATATTTATATGTATTTAAATTTAATTAATTCACGTTTCATATCGATTTCAAACTAAGAAAATTTCTCATTTATTTTTCGTTTATCGTTTTTCTTTGCTTTACTTTACTTTTCTTTTGCTCTTTACGTAATATGTAATGTACATGAAATTTCAAGTTTCTCATTTGTCCATGCAAATGTCTTTTGTAGTATGTGTTTTATGGTATGTATGTATATGTATATTTTGTATATATATATATATTTTTTTTGTTTGCTTTTTGTTTTTGTTTCGCATATAAAAAGGGGGAGAGATTTATCTTTAACGTCTAACAAATTGGTTTTTAAATGCAGTTATTGACCTGAACATTCGTTAATTATATATTCGCAATTATTATTTAATATTATTCAATATACGTATATTTCGTTATGTATATGCATGTTTGTTTATATATATGTATATGTATATGTGTGTTTGTATATTTGTTAGATTGTAAAATAGTTAAACAATTTTGTTTTCGTATGGCTTCTGGTGTTTGTCTATACTTTATTTATTTATGTTAAGTGTTATTTGTTTTTGTTTCCTTCTTCTTAATTTTCTTTTTATTTATATATGTATATATATATATATTTATTGCTTGCTGTATTCTGTTGTTTATTATTTAAAATGGAATTTCATTAATTACAGTATTTGTTTTCACGTTCTTCTGTCCTTTCACTTCTCTTTAGTTTTCTGACGTCACAAAAATTACGAACTTTTCGCTGCTGTTGTTTGCTCCTGCGCAACGGATTTTTTAAACAATAAACAAATTCAAATGATCCAAAAAAAAAAAAAAAAAAAATTTTGGGGCAAATTGTAGAAATTTTGGGGGTTGCTGGATTTGGCTGGGAAGCTGGGCGAAAAATCTGCTTATTT